TGTTTAACCTCAAAAGTACAGTTTTTAAATTAAATGTTGCTGAAACAGCAAGTTTCTCAGTGGATCTGTGCTCAAAAATGCAGCCTAGGTGGAGTAGTCGAACACAGATGATCCTTCAACACAGAGCATCTTCAGAAGACAAGCTGATAAAATACATTTTAAAAATCTGTATTGTTCGATACAAGTGTGTACTGTATTGAACTTAAAGCACTGTTCGCGAGTACATGTATTGTGGTACCTCTAAAATATAGGAAAAACAAATATGAAGGTCAATTAAATTATAAAACGTGAGGAAAAGCTCTCCTTTTTAATTCAATTGGCACATTTTTAATTGAATTTATTTATTGGTCCATTTATACAGTATATTTCTGCTTTTATTCTAGTTATGTCAGTTTGGGTCCTCCATACTGTAGAACTTGGAAGAGGTAATTTAATGTCTGAATCAGGTGTTTTGGAGCAGGGAAAAACATAAAACCTGTAGGGCTGCGGCCCTCGAGGACCAGGACTGCCCACCTCTGCTCTAATAGATGTGTTTTTTTGTCTCGTTTAGGAAAGTCCCACCTGGCCATTGTTCAGAAGGTGAACAACGAGGGGGAGGGAGATCCCTTCTATGAGGTGCTGGGCTTGGTCACACTTGAAGATGTAATCGAGGAAATAATTAAATCAGAGATTCTGGATGAATCGGACCTTTACAGTAAGTTCTGTGATTGAGCCCCCTCTTTTTCTTTTCAATGAGTTTTTTTTGTTTTTATTGTCTTTAAAACTTCAGGCTGGTCTCCTGATCAAGAATTCAATCATTTTCAAAGCCTTTTTGTGTTAAGATAAAACTAAAACTACAAAACCTTTGGAGTAAATTAGTTTTGACTAAAGATAACCAACAAAGTTTCAATTAAAACAATTTATTTCTGTTGCAAAAACTAGTTAAAACTAGTTAAAAACTAGTTAAAAACTAGAAAAATTTTTAATTCAATGAATTAAATGAAACGAACGAATCAGTTTTAACCTTGTTTGCTAAAAATGTAAAGATGCTTCAACTTCAATATAATCAGCATGATCACCTGATGGATGAAGTGTATTTAGTCCTGTGTTGATTTTTTACTAGTTTTACAAAGAGTCAGAAATGTTGTTCACCTGCTGTAGATATTTCTTTTTTTTACTTTCTGTTCCCTGAAAATTGTTATGACTCACTGCAGAACTGCAAATGTTCAAAAAAATCCAGTTATTTAGGGAAAAATTATAAAATTCTACTTTAAAACGAAAGTCTGGCTTTTTGGAAGCAAAATATAAATAACATTTTAAAATTTGTTCTTGCCTGTTAAATTAGTTGGGCTATTTCCTTTTAATTTGTTCAAAATAATTCATCTGTCTGCTGGTTTGATTTGCTCAAAATGTTTCAGACATTTGTGGGTTATTTTAGGTAATTATTTAGCTTTTAAGTGTAAATTTTCAGAATAAAATAACGTGTCTGCTGTGTTTCACTTCCCAGCTGACAATCGTAACAGGAAAAAAGTGGCTCCCAACAAGAACAAGAGAGACTTTTCTGCTTTTAAACAGGAGAGTGAATCGAAGGTGAAGGTCTCTCCTCAGCTGCTGCTGGCGGCTCACCGCTTCCTGGCTACAGGTCAGTTCTGTGTGAAGGACCTCAACGCAATACTTGAGTAAAAGTACAAGTTTATTACCATATAATTACTTTGGTAAAAGTTAAAGTCTTCTCTAAGAAGTACGGAAAATTGTGTGAAAATATCAGGAGTAGAAATAAAAAGTTGGCTGAAAATTAATAATAAGTAAAGATAACCAGAGGCTCTTCTTAAATAAAGTAACAATATATTTGTACTTTATTTTCCCTACTCTGCTACAGGTGATATTTTCTATTATTATTATTATTATTATTATTACATGTTCATATGTTCTGTGATGGATTTTTGTCCAGGCAGGCCCAGACATGCACAGAAGAGGTTTGATCGTATTTACTTGCAGAGAAAGATCTATTTCAGTGTCTGCACCACAGATCACTTGAGAACATGTTGCAATTGGCCCGGTTAGCTGATCCGTCCAGAAACAGCTGGCTGCGCCCGGCATGACGAAGCACTTCCTGCTGGTGTGACGTACGGCTGGCGTTCATTTTCTGCAGTGTTATTTACGTTTATCAGAGAACCGTCCTGTATCCGTGCTGTTTGGAACAGAGGTTTAACAATCTGATGCCTTCACAGAATGAAGACGGGCAGATCAGGAGAAGGATTTAGTGAAGGATTTCAGGGGTGTGTTGTTTACTACTGGCGGTGCACTTGTTACGTTTTATAGAATGAGTTCAGCTTGAGGTGAAAAGGACCAACAAATGTTTGAAGTCGGTTGTGGAAAGTGTTGCTTTTCAGTAACAGAAAGTCGTTTAAAACACACAGCAGGAGGCTGTTGACTTAATGTGTGAACCAGAATGAAAAGAGCTGGTTTGGATTCCATCACTGGCTATATATTATCCCTGTGTGTGCGTGCGTGTGTGTGTGTGTGTGTGTGTGTGTG